GTTGCAAACTGTTGAGATTGGTAAAATTCCCATGTGGGACCCATGTAGTAAATGGGGGAGCAAGTTCTGGTTTTGGTTTGGCCTTTGGAGGAAGTCATGTTGCATTAAATGAGTGGTTGAAATTGAAGACATTTAGGTCTTCACTTGGGGTTGTCGACATTGGCGTAGAGTATGAGAAAAGTCTTGCTTTTCAAATTGAGCAAATGGCCTATTAATATACAGCAGCTGATTCCTTTAGGGGTATATTTTTGCTTACCACTTTAATCCAAGGTGTATCCTCACCACCCTTTTCAACACATGACACATGTTCCTTGGCATAACCATAGTTAATTCTTTATTTTGTATTTATGCAACCATGGTTATGTCAATAGACACGTGTCAAATAGAATACAGCTTGGATTAATGTGGCGAGCAAAAATGCTCCCTTCATTTAGTGTGTGGGGCTTTGAAAATAACATAAAAATATAATATTAGGAGTATTAAAAGTAATAAATGTTTAAGTGGTAGGGAATGGGAAGAGGAATGTAGGCACGCCAACAACAGCAAACATGTTATATTATATGTAGTATTTTTTTTAAAAAAATAAAAATAAAAGTTGAGAAGGTACGGAAGAGAGGATTGGGGTGGATGTTGCAAAGAGTGAAACTGTGAAAAAGAAAATGGGAGGTATTGTTTTTTGTTTTTTGTTTAATTTTCTTTTTCAGAGTGGGGGGTTGGGCTTGTTTCAATTTTTTTTTTTTAAAGATAATTGTAGTCTCTATACATTATAATTTTATTCTTTATAAAAAATGATATTCTCTTTTAGATGAGACATTAACAAAAGTGCCTAAAATTATTTTAAAAAATAAATGATTTATGAAGCTATAATGCAATGTTTTTAATAGAAAATTCGTCGTGTACAATTGAAGTTTGGATGGAAAGTACTATTTTTCTAGTGTATTTTCTTCTGAAAAAAGTTTCGAATCCTTAACACTGTGACTCCTTGGCCCGAGAATCCTGAATCCGCCACTGTATGTGAGTACTATTTATCTTTGTTGTAGTTAATAGATAATAAATTTTTTGGGCTAACATATAAATATGGTAGAAGAACCAAAGAATGCTACTAACTAAACTGTCACTATGAGTTATGCATAAAGCAAGGTATGCTTAATAGTCTCAGCGCTCGTTTGGTACACAGGATTGGCTTGGACTGACTTGGACTAAATTTAGTACCATGTTTGTTTTATCTAATTCTAGTCTTAGATGAAATTGCTAATACCGGGCCCACCAAAAATACCTCCTTAGGAGGGGACTACTAATCCCATGTGGAAATGGAGGATTAGCTAGTCTCAATGCTCACCAATGTATAAAATGCATATATTATATTGTAAAATTAATAACATATATTATTATTATTAAACTTACTTACACATATACTATAATGTACATATATACATGTATATACACATAAATATATCATATATGTATATATGTATATATATACACTCTCCACATGCGCTTTCACGCTTGCAAGAGGCTTTTGTTTTTATGCCTCGGTTTCATTATCTCATTTAACAGATCCTAAATACATTTATGGTATCCAATTGGAATACGGAATATCATAATAATGGTAGAAATTGAATCATCCATAACTGTAGTCAAAACAAAAATTTATTTCGATCGAACCGCCTAGTTTCATTTGTTTGCTACGGTACATGTCTTGTTTCAAGATTATTTTAAATAAAAAAATTAAATTTATTTTAGAATTAAAAAATATAATGGGTAGTTGTGTTCCATAAAAATAGGATCCATTATCTTATTTTTCTTTTAATTTTAATTTTTTTAAATATGAAAACGTGTGAATTTACCATATTATCCTTATTTAATTAATAATTTCAATTCTTAATGTTTGCATTAACCATGGGCATTTTCTGGTATTTTGAATGTTTCACCATTCTCTGCCTTTTGCTTTATATATATAGATACACATATATACATATATAATATATATAATATACATATACATATATACATGTATATTATTATTATTATAATATACCCATATACACATATACATATTAATATTATAATAATAGCATACGTGTATATATGTAATATATATTATATATTACTAGCCTCTCCACACGTGCTTCCGTGCCTGCGAGAGGCTTTTTTTAAAAAAATTAAATTTATTTTAGAATTAAAAAA